TCATAGTATAGTATGGCATAAAAATGAAAAAATGTCATAGTATAGTATAAAAATATGAAAAAATGTCTTAGTAACGTATAGTATCAAGATGTCATAGTATAGTACGGTGTAAAAATGTCAAAAAACATCTTAGTTTAGTATGGCCTGAACATGTCAAAAAACGTCATAGTATAGTATGGCATAAAAATGAAAAAATGTCATAGTATAGTATAAAAATATGAAAAAATGTCTTAGTAACGTATAGTATCAAGATGTCATAGTATAGTACGGTGTAAAAATGTCAAAAAACATCTTAGTTTAGTATGGCCTGAACATGTCAAAAAACGTCATAGTATAGTATGGCATAAAAATGAAAAAATGTCATAGTATAGTATAAAAATATGAAAAAATGTCTTAGTAACGTATAGTATCAAGATGTCATAGTATAGTACGGTGTAAAAATGTCAAAAAACATCTTAGTTTAGTATGGCCTGAACATGTCAAAAAACGTCATAGTATAGTATGGCATAAAAATGAAAAAATGTCATAGTATAGTATAAAAATATGAAAAAATGTCTTAGTAACGTATAGTATCAAGATGTCATAGTATAGTAAGGCCTAAAAATGTCAAAAAACATTTTAGTTTAGTAAGGCCTAAAAATTCAAAAAACGTCATAGTATAGTATGGCATAAAAATGAAAAAATGTCATATTATAGTAAAGTATAAAAATATGAAAAAATGTCTTAGTAACGTATAGTATCAAGATGTCATAGTATAGTGAGGCTTAAATGTCAAAAAACATCTTAGTTTAGTAAGGCCTAAAAATGTCAAAAAACCTCATAGTATAGTATGGCATAAAAATGAAAAAATGTCATAGTATAGTAAAGTATAAAAATATGAAAAAATGTCTTAGTAATGTATGGTATCAAGATTTCATAGTATAGTAAGGCCTAAAAATTTCAAAAAACATCATAATTTAATAAGGCCTAAAAATGTCAAAAAACGTCATAGTATAGTATGGCATAAAAATTAAAAAATGTCATAGTATAGTAAAGTATAAAAATATGAAAAAATGTCTTAGTAATGTATGGTATCAAGATTTCATAGTATAGTAAGGCCTAAAAATTTCAAAAAACATCATAATTTAATAAGGCCTAAAAATGTCAAAAAACGTCATAGTATAGTATGGCATAAAAATTAAAAAATGTCATAGTATAGTAAAGTATAAAAATATGAAAAAATGTCTTAGTAATGTATGGTATCAAGATTTCATAGTATAGTAAGGCCTAAAAATTTCAAAAAACATCATAATTTAATAAGGCCTAAAAATGTCAAAAAACGTCATAGTATCGTAAGGCATGAAAGTATCAAGAAACATCATAGTGTATTATGGCATAACAACAAGAACTAATGTCATAGTGTAGTAAGGCCTAAAAATGTTAAGAAACATCATATTATATTAAAGCCCAAAAATCTCAAAACGTCATAGTATAGTTAAAAAAATACGAAAAAATATCATAGTAAGCCAAAAAACACCATAGTGTGGTAAGTCCTAAAAATGTCAAAAAACGTCATAGTATAGTAAGGCACAACGTGTGAACAAAGGTCTTAGTATATAAGGTGTAAAAATGCCATAGTATTGCAAGGCACAAAAAATTCATTGTACAGTAAAGAATAAAAATGTTATGTAAGGCATAGAAATGTCATAGCATCGGAAGGAATAAGATATTGTAATGCACCGGATGAATCCTTCACCATGATAACAGGACATGGCATTCAGGAAAACGTACCTCGATTCCGCGTCGTTAGGGTTCCATCCAAAGGTCTCCAGCTACAACGCAACTCACAGTACCCTGGTCTTAACTTTGTGCTCATGACTGGGTGATGTCGTAATATAGCCATATTTAATAATTAAATCTCATTCGTAGACCTAGCTGTATAGTCATAGTGCACAGCCATAACATTTTTCTCCCAACATTGCCAACTCAGTACACAGTTCATTTCATTATTATTTTCATCTTTATGTTCATTATACATTGCATTTACCTTGTAGATAGTGTAAATACAGAAATCTATTAAGTAAACTACTAAGTCGTTGTCCTGTTGTGTTCTTTTGAAGTAGAGACTGGAGAGCCATTGAATCGAGAAGTCACAGTTTCTGAGATTAATGAAATTAATCAATGAAATAATTAAATGTTGTCTTCCCTGAGGACTGATGTTCCCTTATCAATAAGAACAAATTCTTAAGTGTGGTATTTATGCTACAAAATACAGGCTTGTAGATAACAAGCCTGCAAAACCACTGATATTGGCTGTTTAAAAAAACAGACGAAAGGATTACCAAGAGTCTTTTCTTTTTCTTTCTGATCAGCTGGCAGCTCCTCTCACTCAGTGTCTGGTAGCAGTGCTGCTCCATGCAAATTAGAATTAAAAACTTTTCTTTTAAAAGTGCACTTGAAAATTATTCCTTGTCATTTGCAGCTTTAAGGGCTTTTCCACCTACACACCTAAATGATCTGGTACTGTCAAGATGTTCTTTGCCCTCCTTCCTGCCTCTTTGTAAGCACATAACAAAGACAATAGCTGTTATGATTTAAAAAAAACAAACAAAAAAAAAAAACATCACAGACACATTTCAAAACAATACTTAAAATACTTTATTCTTTGCACAACTGGTGTTTGGTACCTGATGGCACACAGCCAAAACACAAAACTCAGTCTTGTGATTTTGTGATTATGGCTCAAGTTTCCTGAACTTGGCTTTGTCTTCTTTAAATTTCATGCATAAAAGACCAAAGTTGCATTGTTCTTAAATTGCATTGCATGGCATTGCAACATTGTTGTACAATTTTGTGGTGCAGAAATCCCACTCCCCACCCCCTCAGAGTCCTCTGGATATGGCTGATTCACTGTGCAGGTCTTCTTTTTCTTTGTTTTTTTTTTTTTGCCTTCGTGTTCATTTTTGTAGTTTTTACTGTCCATATTTTGTAGTTTAGTGTGTGTACAGAGTCTGTAGTGTAAACATTAGCACTCTAGTTGTAACTGGCCTTTACTGTGGGCCTGCAGAAGAGCTTTAATAACTTAAGGCCTGTACACATGGCACCATGGCCCACTGGCTTCTCAAGCACTGGGTCAACCACAGTTAAATGTATCACAGGAGGATAAAAACAATTTCCATACTATTCTACAGACACTGGTATCCAGATATATTGGATATGTAACATGTTGCCAAAACCTTCTCAAATCCCTGTAACAGAAGGTGGGCTGAGCAAAATACTTAATGCTTGTGGTTAATAACAGGACGAACAGTGAATAGCCACGCTAGGGGCCCCATGAAGCCAGGAGACAGAACTGGTGGATGGATGAAAAATACAGAAAAAAGTAGTGGGACAAAAGTTTGTCCTGAGGGGGGTGCTACAGTAATTTTTCACATAAATCAGAACAGGGGTTGGGGTTAGGGTTAAGATTCTCCACATTAGTTACTGTATTTGATCAGTGTTGACATGCAAGACGGGCTGTGTATTTTTACTTTTTCCGTGTTGTACATTGCTACACTGCTAATGTTAGCATGTGTGCTAGTTAGCGTGCTTGTTGGCATTAAAGCAACAGTTTGTTTTCATTTCGGGAAACATTCTTGTCCACTCGCTTACCAGGAGTTATTGATATCACTCTCATGTCTGTACATGAAATAAAGAGAGACGCCAGTCAGAAGTGCACAGCTGCCGGTCACCAAGAAATAGTCAAAGTACTTAATTACCTGTGAAATTGTTGTATTTATATTTCTGTTTGATTATATGTTAGGCAAATTCGATAAAACAATTAATCGGCTCTACAGGTGACAGAACCAGGCTAGCTCCTTCCTCTTTGCTAGGCTAATAGGATCCTGGCTCTGGTTCCCTAGTTAACGTAGAGACATAAGGGTGGTATCAAGTAGGGCTGCACGATATGCATAAAAAAAAAATCATATTGCAATTATCTTTGCAGATATTGTGATTAGGATTTCAGTTGGAATGGCTGTTTTTACATTTCATTTTCACAGAATTTTTTTTTTAAATGATGTGTTTTTTGTTGGTTCTTGTACCAAACAAACGTCTGAGGAACACGTTTTGTAAGCTGGGGAGTCTATGTAGCGCCACAACGCTTATGGTGCTAACAGTGCACAACAACTTGACACATTTTACCTTAATTAAAGAAATTCAAGCTCCTGCGATTTGGTTATTGCATTCGTCCATATTGCGATATTGATTATATTTTGATTAATTGTGCAGCCCTAGTATCAAACTTCTCATCTAACTTTCAGCAAAAGCTTGAAAAAACATATAACTGAAAATATTCTTTTAAAGGAAGTTATTGGTGGCTGCATTCATTCCTCCTGTCCATACTGGCTGTGAAGTTGTACCTTTCCTTTGACCTCAGTCCAGTTAAAGCTGAAGGTCATAATAAGATACTTTACCTCAAAAACTAAAATGGGCAAGAGGAAACTCTGATGTTGGTGCTAGATGCAAAAGTAACAGGATCCCAAAAGTTGTTAGATTCACCCTTTGGGGATCATGAAGCTCTGTACCAAACATCATGGCTATCCATCCAATCTATCACAAGATCTTTATATGTTTAACCTACAGACCGACTGACATCAGCATCCCTAGCACCAGGCCCCTAGCATGGCTGAAAACATTTCATTATTGCACATGACCTCAATTTTAGCTCTGGCTTTGCAAAATCAAGACAGGTGATTAGATAAGCCCTGACCTGCGATTTCAGAACATTACAAAGTGTGCATACACAGACATGGCACATACATAAGTAACAAAATATTATTTATAAAACACAGAGGGGTATAAAATTAAAAACAGTTGGTGCTGTGAATGTGCTGAGGGTTTTAGTGTTAAGGAGTGTATTTACACACCTTTCTCAGGCTGTTTTCAGTCATTCTCGTCTTTTAGCCTAAAAACAACTGAGTACTCCTCATTTTCCTGCTCAGTTCTTTCTTATTTGATTTGGCGATCATCTTCTCCATCACCTCTCGATCTTGTGTATGTCCATTTCAGATGCTCTTTGTCCCTCTGTCCTTTCACACCTTGGTGTTTTTAAAGTACATGTACCTTCTTGTGGAAGTGTATTGCACAAGGGAGGAGAATATTCCTGGATATTTCTCTTTCCCTTTTCCGTTCTCCTTCATTTTTGTAGTCCCATCCGTCTGTCAAAGACCAGTTGCAGAGGATCTGCTCTTGCACCATTCATAACCTCTAAGTGTCTCCTTCTTTCTATACCTCTATGGTCTTGAAATATATCCTGGCATAGATTGAATCCAACTGGCTGTGCAGGGCGTGGAAGGACGGTCTCTTGGAGGGCTCAGCCGCCCAGCAGTCCATCATGATACGGTAAATGTTCTGAGGACAGCGGGTTGGACAGGGCAGCCGAAACCCTGATGACAGCAGATCCAACACCTCCTTGTTGCTTTTTCCTAAAGAAGATTTAAAAAAAAAAAAAAAAGAAAGCATCAGCATTGGAGGAGTGTAGTCATTTTTTTACCTTTTCTTTTACAGGCAGAAAATAAATGGTGTTCAGAGTATTCCACTGTGCAGAGAACCAGCAACCACAACTATGATAAGATCAAGACCTGCTGCAAGAGCTCACCTTTGACAGGTAAAGTAAACATCACTCTTGCAACACATAGTCCAGAAAGTCCATGTTATGATCAGTCATGGATTTAAAAAGTACTTAAATGATAAGGCTGGCATTACTCAATACTTTTCCTATTGTCAAGAAATCCCATGAAAAGATAAAAATGGGTCATAAATATATATATAGTTTTTATCTTCATTAAAAAAAGCAATTTCCTAAAACAGCTGGTCTGTAGTTTTTTTTTTTTTTTTTTTAGCAAACATGTATTTGTTGGGGACTATTCTCAGTGGTGGATTAATCCACATTTGGTACTCTAGTGAGTATTTCTGGCAGCAGGGATTGAATCAAAATAAACTAAGGCGTCTGTGTTCATACTAAGATGTCACCCAGCGCAACAGTGTGGCTCACTGCTGTGCTTTAATAGTTTTTGAACAAAAATGGAGCTCAATGGCTCAGATGATGAAGATATATCATGCTTTGGATAAACACACAATATTTGTTAGTCAGAGACATTCATTGATGGACCTCTCGTGGGAGAAAAAGTAGAATATCACCAGCTTCCCCCTTTAAAATCTCCTTCTTCTGTGTTGTGCAAGTCTTGAATTTCATCTTGGTCACTACCAAACAAATTCCACAATACACTCTGGCACAGGCTCAAGTATATATTTTTTCAATTCACAGTATATCCATATTAAGCAAAATAAAAAGATAAAATAAGATAAAAGAGAGGATGAAGAGATAAGAAGCAAGCATTTACATGTCCCAACATTTAAAAAGAAATTATCATAAGACTGCCCATTTGGATATACGTAAGTGCATTTTCCATTTACATCATTTCACTAACGGAATAATACTGCAGCAGTACACAAACATCCATCATGCTGCTGCGAGAGTTGTGTAGAGTAGTCGTTAATAAACAGATTAACACACTTGAGTCAATTTTCTACAAAAAACATCAGTTTATATAGTTGTATAGATATTGTTATAGTATAGCAGTAGTTTATATATATGTTTATATATATATAAGATATAACAGTTAACTCTGTACCTTCATAAGGCATTTTGCCACGTGACATCATCTCATACAGCAGCACACCAAACGACCAAACATCCGATTTCACAGAGAACCTCTGGTAGATCGCCGCCTCAGGTGCTGTCCACCGCACTGGGATCTTTGTGTTTCGACTAGCTGTATAAACACTGTCCTGAGGAACGAGAATGTAAAGGGTTAAAAAGATATATAAGCACACTAGACCTTTAACTGAGGACTTTATAGCCTTTTGTGTTTCTTCAATTTAAGACTACATTTCCCATGAACCCCCATCAGAAAGCTTGTCTTCTTATTTACACCCTAGATTTGCTTTAAGCTGAAGCCCATAACTTTCCACATCCTTCAAATTAGGTCACTGAAACTACAGGAAAGATGTAGTCTCCCTTGTGATGTTGTCGTCGATATGGCTAATGTGTTAGCAAACAGTGGTATTTACACATTCAGCAGAAAGACAGCAGTGTTTCATTAGGAGACCAATACCTTTATTCTTTCAGCTGTGTTTTTGATATCCACCAGCTCCTTAGGGAAATATCTGGATTTTTAGCTGCTTATGCTCCACTATGTTCACCAGCTTCTCTCTAACTGTGTCCGTCTGCTGTTTGCTGCTGAGCAGGAAGTGACCAGTGGATTTATCATTATTATTATTTTTTTTCCTGAAAATAGCTGCCTTCTGTGTCTGTAAATGAGCAGCAAGTGTGTAATTAAATGTTTTTTTAATGTGTGCAACAGCTCTGAACAGATTTAAAGATCCTTTATTGTGTAAAGGTAGATGTCCATGTGTTGTTTGATTATCAAGCAGGTCTAGATTCTATTTTAATAAGTGGAAGTATCAAATCGCTCAGTCCACAGAGAAATGCTCACAACCTGTATACATCCTTTGTGATGTGACAACAAAGCAGTTACCACCCTCAGCCGTGCCCCAAGCCCCGCCCACCTGGACCCACCATCCAACCTTGCAGGATTTAGTTTCTCTGAGTGTTTTACCTGAAATCTGTTTTCTGAGTGATTGAATGAAAATATAGCAGTCAGCCAATCAGAAGAGAGGCTCAGAGCCTCCTCTCCTCTGATTGGCTCACTGACCTGTTTTTACTAGAGCTTCAGAGAGAAGCCTGAGAGAGGAGATGTAAAACTACACTGAGATGGTTTTTGTTTTTTAAAACCACAAATAAATCTTGTTATGGATCAACACTTGAAATAAAACACAGGAAAAGAGGAAAATGTCAGACTTTTAACACCATCAGCTAGATGCATGCGAACATGTTAAGTCTTAATGTCCAAAACTCTAGCATCCAGATGATCACACTATACTTAAAAAAAAAAAAAAAGTTACACATTTCTCTGAAAAACAGCCAGAGGAAAACTACATAACTTAGTGCATTTCGTGCAAAATAAAAACTGTCTTTACCAGATAAAATTCAGCAGGGACAGTTTGATTTATTTACAGTAAATACTGTTGTCTCACAAGTACTGAGTTAATGATGTATTCATGTTTAAATGGAACACAGAACATTTAAGCTGTCTCTTTCCGAACTATTGTAGTACTCATGAATTTCCCCTAGGGGATAAATAAAGTATCTATCTATCAATCTGAAGTCTTAGAAGCTCTGAATGAATAAAATATTTATTCTGTTTTATTACACTCAATCAGATTATAGAGATGAGCGCTGCAGCTGTTATTTTTACACATTACACAGAACTGACAGAGGGAGGGAAGAGTGGTATATTAACTATACATGAGTTTACATTGGAACAACAAAGCACACTATACATATTTAAAAAGAAGACAAATAAACAACTAGCGTTATTCTAAAATAAGAAAATGGTTCTTGACAGATGAAACAACAAATATAACCTCTCCCTCTCTCTCTCTCTCTCTCTCTCTCACACACAGGCACTCACCCCTCCCTCTTTACCTTAATAATACGAGCCAGTCCAAAGTCGGCCACCTTGCAGACCAGATCGTCTCCCACCAGGATGTTCCTAGCAGCCAGGTCTCTGTGGACGATGTTCCTGTCCTCCAGGTAGGCCATGCCCTCCGCAATCTGACTGCCCATGTAGATCAGGTGAGCTGATGTCAGCACCTGGCCTTCAGCAGCTGAGAACACACAGCATCGGTTATGTGAGGTCATATTTTATAAATGAGCAGGTGTGTGTTAGTGAGATTTGAAGTTTTAATAAACCAAACAGCCCAAGTTTTACCAGGTAATATGTCATCAAAGAATCAATAAATAAGATTGAGAGTCTGACAAAGTATTTGATCCAAGTCAAAGAGTTTTTATTGCTCTGGAATATTTTTTTGGTTCAGTGCTCAGAAAATATGAAGGATTTGATAACCAGCACAGTGAGCAGGTAAACAAAAATCAAGTGAATTATGTATCACTTTCTTTGTACTTTTGCATTATTTTGTTTTTTCTTACATTACATGAAACTGGAAAACACAGGGAGTGTATCCCTTTTAAATAACTAAATGCATGTTCAGTGCTACAGTACAAACACAAAACACCCTCAAGTTTCATCCTTAAGGTTTCCGTAAAATGTTCACTGAGGGGTTTAATTTTTTTTCCTTATCTTAGTCTTATACTTAAGAAATCAAATCAGTTTTTGTGTTTTGTGCAACGGTTTTACTAAAGGAAAAAAAGTAAAGGTACCTCTGACCATCCTAATTGCAACGTGGCTGAGTTTATGACGATAAATGAACAAAATGAACGCAACCCAAGAAGGGTGTTCCACAAGGACCAGGACCACCAGGAGACACCCTTAATGATGAGGGATGGATTTTATATTACAGGTTTGATCGGCAGTCAGTTTGTCCGACCATCTAGAGTTGGAGTTAGAAATAGACTTTTTTTCCTTTTAAATAAGGAAACCTTTTAAAAGATTCTGTGCAACACTCTTAAGTAACTCCCTCAGCAAAGGAGAAATAAAACCTTGTCATACTTAAGTAGAAAACTTAAGGTGTTTTGTGCAACCATTCCCAGAGTGTTTTATTAGTTTGAATGAGCGTCAAATTTCTCTCTGGTTCTAACAGAGGTCACGTTTCAGGAGTGAATGACTCTCATAAAGCTGAATGTTTACTGCAGTGCTGATAAACACATGGATGTCACATTAGAAAAGCAATGTGATTACATTGTTCTTCTCCTACTGGCAATAATCAGCTGTAGCGCTGTAGTGGTTGCTAAGGATATGATTTGCAAGTGAAAGCGTGCGACAACAATAGAAACAGTTCTGCTATTTCCGTTGTTACTGTCACACAGGAGGCTGATAGTGACTGCAGGTCCTTTTTCTGCAGAGGTGAGGAGGAAATATGATTGACCATAAAAAGGTTTATATTTCCCTCTACATGTGAAGGCTTTCAGTGAAGTACAGTAGTGAAGGTATTAGTGAAGCTAATTGTGTGCAGAAGGCAGATATGTACAGTAACGACATGCGCACACACACACACACAGCAGGAGGAATAAAGACCATCTGCTGCTATGAGAAATATCTGAGTCAAACCCCTCACACTTGCTCACTAAGACTCCTTGTGATTAGAGCCTTTTGTGAAACATCAGAACAATATTTCTCTGCCAGAACGCAGATTATAATTCCATTTGCTTTGGATTTGAGGCGAAGAGATTTAACGTCACTTGACCTAAATACTGTTTCAGAGGCCTTTCCAAAAAACGTCTGAGGTTTCGAATGAAATTCTGCCGAGAACCTGAGAGAAGCTAAATTAATCCTCTGTTCTAAAGCTCTTACAGCGTCATCTTTTAGACAGTATCTGTGTGATGTTTAGAAACAGGAAGTTGAAAAGGACCTGACGGTAGATGACATTTTAATTTTTGTGACTCTGGCTCAGGTATGTGTGTGACCCAAACATGTTTATTTGTGTGTGGGTGTGTGGTGTGTGTGGTGTGTGGTGTGTCACTCACAGGCAAGGTAGGACTTGAGGCTTCCTTTGCTCATGAGTTCAGTCACGATGTAGACCGGCTCTCCTCTGGAGCACATGGCCAACAGCTGGATCAGTTTCGGGTGATGGAGGCTCTTAAGCGCCTGAACTTCCTTCACAAACTCGTCCTGCTTTGTGTCCTCTGGAGGAGGAGGAGGAGAAACAGAAACCTTGGTGAACATATCCTTTATCTGATGACCTTGGTTGTCTATCTGTTCACTGCAATAAAAAAGGGACTGTCTTGGTGAGATTAAAGGCGATCTCACCGGTTCTGTTTACGTTCTGTTCCTCATCATAAAACGTAATTTTTCAAAGTCAATTTTGTTAATTTTTTTAAACCTGCATGTTTATATCGGTGTTTTATACCATTTATATTTACTTGCTAGCATAAAACTATCAGCAGCAATGTGCTCAGTCTCGCTGACCTCATGTCACACACATGCATGAGCCAAGATTTAACCAAAACATTGCTCTGCAGTTTTACTAGTGTTAGAAAACTCTCAAAACTTTTTCAAGCAGCTTTTCTTCAAACCTTTAATCCTCTCCACCTCCCCTTCTCTGTCCATTCAAAATTTATAACCACATCCCTCCCTCCATTTGATACGGAAATACTTCAGAGTCATCACTACTCTCCGCTCCTCTCATCATGTTTTTGTCCATCCTGTGCATCCCTCCATCTGTTTTATTTTTAGTTTTAGGCTCTGAGCCTGAATGAAAAACGTCCTCATTCCAGCTAGGACACTTTATATCATGTGTCGCATTGGGCTAATTCTCCTGTTTACCTTACAAGTGTCGGGCAGAAAAACAAATAATTGCTGCCATGGTAACTTTACTAAGCTGTAAAATCCTGACTCATAGAAATACTAACTGCTGCTAAGTGCGTCATAATCTGATAAACATTAAACCGGAGTTGCTGGTTCAAATTTGATCTTCTCAGCAGCAGCTGGAGGAACACACTCATGTCAGTGCAGCCCATTGTGTTTCTTCTGCAGGGACGTTGTTGCTCTGCACACAAGACTTAAAACCCTTTCTGGTTCTTCAGCTCTGACCTCAGCCAGCAACACCACAAGGAAGTCACAGGGTCCTTAAGTACAAATTAACACAGTGTCTTCTGGTGAGAAACACTGAATGTAAACATAACTTTGTTTAGAAGAAAACTCCTCATTTAATCTTCAGATAATCCATATTTCACACCATTGATTGACTTGACAGTTTCTCCCTGCACTCGTACCTTGTTTCAGCATCTTTATGGCTACCCTCTTGTTCTCTGTGGTCCACAGAGCCTCCCACACCTCTCCGAAGTGTCCCTCTCCCAGCTTCTTGTGGAGCCTGAACTCCTCTCGAGGTCTCTCCCACGGCTCCATGTCGAACAGTTCCCGCTGCACAGAGACGACAGGGTGAGTCCAGACAGCTGTCACATTCATCACAACACTTCAAAACAAGTGGGACAGATGATGCTGCAGAGATGCACACTGTGACAAAGCCAACACAATTGTGTTGACACTGAAGGACTGTGCAGCTGAAATATTGTTTGATGTATCAGTTGTACAAAAAGTCCTGACACAGCACAATACAAGGTGCTGAGTCACAGAAATAGACTGGACTGTGTGAAAATGTGAGAGTTGCTTAGTTGCAGAATTTACTTGATTCCTGTCTGACATCGGAGCGACTGCAGGGCAGAGCCAGGATGTTCACTGGAAACTAGGCTTTTTCAAAATTTCCTTTGATTGTGGATTAAAAATGAGTGTTAAATAACATATTCTGGACACTTTCCCTCAACACTGATTGTTGTTTTCTGACTTTATTTACTGTGTCTGTGTCTTTCTTGAATGCAGGTTGTGTGATTCTCTTTAGAATATCTTCAGGAAATCAAGATGACAGGAGATGCAGCTAGAAACTGTGTTTATTTCTTCCTGATGCAAAGTGAGTAAATTTTTCTATTCAGATAAATTTAATCTGCTTTAACAACAGACAGAAAAAACCTGAAACACGATGATGAAATGAAAAAATAAATGTTTTACGTTTTTATTTATTTGTGACTTTGTCTTATTGTTCTCTTTTTTCAGGCTTGATGCACGTGCAGATTGTCTTTGTGGTGATGTAATGACAGATGAACAGGATGGTGTCAGGTGGGTGAAAGATGAATGAATGAATGCAAACTAATTCATATTTTTTTATGACAAATTTATTGTCTTTAACAATCAGATGCTACAAAATATTTGGTTCTATTGATCAAGTGCTTTGGTAAACATGACATGAAATGAACAGATCAATGAAACGATTGGTTAAATAAGATCATAAGACATGATTAATAAATTAACAGTCAAATAACAATCAGACATCACTCATATAGAAATAAGATGCTACAGATCAAGTTCACAAGTGACACACAACTTGTTGGTCAACTCTGTGTTGCCTCAGCATCGTTGTTTAAACACATTCAAACAGATCAATGAGGTTCAGTGTCTCTTTGCTGCTGAAGCTGCGACAACACAGAACAACACAACAGTGTGTGTAAAAAAAACTGCAACCACGTCGTCCAAAAACAAAGTGAAACAAAAGACATTGAGTCTCAGGCTCCTGCTGCACCTCAGTCCATCACTGTGAATAATTACGTCTTTAAATACTTTCAGTTTGTAGCAGGTTTTCCCATCAAATTATGGCAGTATGGAGATTAAGCAGATTGTTTTCGTAATCCCACTTAATTAAAACGTTAAAACGAGCTTTAACACAGTCCACTGATCAGTTTATTGGGTATTTAAACACACAAGATAAATCTGCTTTTAGTAACACAAGGCTGACAGATGAATCAGACTTCAGACCACAAACCACGCCACATCACTTTTTATTGACCATTTCTCTTCGCTGCGTAAATGCCGGGAACAAGATGTTGAGCCAAGTCGATAAAAAGTGATTGAAAGTGCAGTTAGTGGCTCATTTCAGTGGCAGAACATTTAAAGACGTCTAAATGCCTGAACCTCTGATTTCCTAAAAGCAGATTTATTCTTGTGTGTGAGGCCGTAAATGATCCAGTGAAGCTGCAACAAAGAACGATGAGAGAAAACATTTAAATAAATGATGGATTTACAAAAAACTGAACCTGTACAATAGATCCTGTACAGTGTGATTTTACAATCCTAAATATAATATTCAGGAATAAGATTAACACAACAACAGTGAACTGAGATGATGTTTGGAGATTTAAAGATGGAACTAGAGACAATAACAAGTAAACTGTGTAAAATGTTCAGCGCTCCTGAGCTGCAGCACAGTCATGAAATGCAAATGGCACGCATAAAAATCAATATTTGGATATAATTAATAAATTATTTATGGTAATAGCTGTTTTATTAATATCTATAAAAGTTTATGAAATAGTTGAACTTAAAAAAAGTTAAATGAAGGAAAATGATTGATACAAAATGTAAGTGTTTGTATATTTTCCTTGTTCTCATTCACAGCTACCGCTAGCTTCTCGTGTGTGTGCTGTATTGTTTTCATGCTAACATGAAAGCATATGTGCAGAAGCACGTTGCTTCATATTTCCATCATGTTTTCCATCATTAGAGGTTTGACTGTTGATCTTTTAATTACATCGTCTTGTTCCTCCCTCTTCTCCTGCAGTGGATTAATGGCACCTGACTGGAAAATGAACTGTTTAATTAACTGTTTATCTCGATGAAGCGGCTCCTAACATTTGCATAATGGTGGATTAATTCATTTGCAATTTCTGTTTTCTCAAAAGTTGGTCAAATCTTTGCTACATCTGGATGAAAATATTGTTAGTGCTGTATGTCAACATTAGCCAGAAATCATTAGACCTTGTTCACTGTTCCTGCAGGCGCAGCTTCACCAGTGCAGGATGCTTCATGGATACAAAGTCATGCACCTGAAATGCATCCAAGCTTGTTAAGGTTTGTGACACTGTCTGAATATAATGGACACACTTGGAAAAAGCTATGAAAGGAAAGCATGCAATAAAGTCTGATAAATTTCAGGTCTACTGCAGAGGCAATATTGAGGTCACAGAATAGGCCTGCGGTTTAACACCTGATTATGAGATAGAGGTTATAATTACAAGAGAATGCCTCTGTACATGTGCTGAGTCTGTGTTTTGTATTTGCTTGTGTGCATATGATATGTTTGTGTGTTTCAGCCTCAGTGTGTCCGTGGCCTCAGACTCACAGCCTCTGCTGGAAGGGAAGAGAGAAGAGGAGGAGTCACTGACTGTGGCCTCTGATAGATAAGATTTTGTCTTCTCAAACATTTTTATTCTTGTGGGAGAAGCTGAAACTCGATGCTCGTGTCTCATATCTCTAAATGTTACAAAATATCCATTTATCCTTAAACATCACTCTGTATATGTAATACATGGTGGTTTGTCATTTCGCAGTGAAAAGTCTCCAGATAGTGAGAAACCTCGGTGAGCTCTGCTCTGTCGTCTCCCGCCGGGCTCCAACTGATGAGCCATGAATAAAGAATCCAGCCCGCTGGGGCTTTAATTTAAGCTGCAGTGCAGAGATAACGCATGTAATTACAGCACGGATACGCAATTTTATTCTAAAACTGCTCCAAATATTTTATTCTCCATTTAATTACACTCCAAATACTGTATATATATTTGCCTCTCGGTATTATTTATGCATAAAGAGCATGAGACGACGCTCATTACATTCCTGCAGCAACAACAGAAAGGAGTTCAGGAGCTTTGTTTGAGACTCAGACAAAAGCTGCTCAGATTAACAGATACTGGGAGATTCTGCACATTAAGACTTGAGCTTCTGTTGCCTGAAGCTACTGAGTCATTATTGACTGCTGGTTTTTTATTGTAAAATACAACAATGCTAATTTCTGCAAGCTAAAGAGCAGAGTGATAGAAGGCAGTACACTAATACAGCAAGTTGCTGAGGTGAACCACTGATCACTGCATGTCAACATCAGCTGGAAAAGGAGAGGCTTCGTACAGGTTGCTGGACTGGTGAATCACTATTGGTGAGTCAAATGCCCAAAACGCTCATGTTCTGATGTTACGTTAACAGAATCTGTAACCACAGTACGACATATCTGAGGTTGGCAACAGAGTCCAGTTAAGTGAGTTAAAGCACAGGTGAGTTTTTACCCAAGAAACAAAACCTTAAGCTGACAGTGTAGCTCATCCGACTTTGAAAAACTCTCACTAAAACGTCAACCCTGTTTATTTAGCTTTTGTTTGTTCACAGCGTTAAACATCTGCTGAAGAGCTATTGGCTACTTCCTGTTTGCAGTGTGCTCATGGTGTATTTATGGATGTTTATTTTTGCTGCTGTAACATGTAATTCCTCTACTTGGAATTAATAAAGTTATCGTCTTACCTTATAAATGTCGTGTGTGTTTGTACTTGTGACAACAAAGACGCAACAGAAAACTACTGTCAGATTTTACATTCAGAATCTAATCAAAATTCACAAGTGCATTACAACCAATATTTATATAAACATGCTGTGTGAGTGGATGATTATGTGTCATGTGTAACTGTACTTTTATCTTTGTGAGGACCAGTTACATATAGATGTTCAGTTTAAAGCAGCTATAAAATCAATGCTTATATAATAAGTGGATCAAGTGACAATGTGAAACGTGTCTCTGGTAGTGAATTATCAGCTGAGTCTGCAGCTTTACAGAGTTTCAGCTCACTGTTTATCAGTCCTCACTGTTCTGGTTCCCTCTCTCTGCTCTCATAGCGTCGTGTTCAGAGAAACATCTGTAAAAAGGCACCGTCCGCTACAGCCACAAACAGCAGACAGACACAGTCAGAGAGCAGCCGGTGAACATACCAGACATGTAGCAATATTAGTATTAATAGAGTCGTGGTTCTGGCCAACTGAAAAATCTGGGTCCAATATTCACTCTCTTTTACCAACTGCTGAGGGAAACGTCTGGCGCTTAATTATTACCCAAAGGCAAATTTTTGGATTCTGCACTGTGTCCATCATCTGCCCTCTAACTGTGTGTCTGTGCTGTTTGCTGCTGAGCAGGAAGTGGACAGTGAGTTTATCAGGTACCTGTGTGAACGATAACAAGCTTGATGAAAGCGCTGAGCAGGAACCAAAACAATAATTCTCTGTAGTTTCATCACTTTGAGTAATATGGAAGGAGTCACTCGGTCATTTGATCCATTGTTAAATCAAATACTGCTTAATGCAGATTTAAAGTTAGTGAGGAAAAGCACCGTGTCCATCCAGGTCCTCACAAGAATAGAAGTAAAAACATTGTGTTTTTGTGTCTCTGCCTTACCTGCTGGGCGCAGGGCTCCTCCAGCAGCACCCCCAGGCTGCGGGGGGTTTTCTGGTAGTAGGAGATGAGCTCTCCCAGCGTGGCGAAGGAGATCTTATCTGAGACGAAGTACGCACCGATGGTGGAGCGCTGGATCCTGAAGTGGTACACTTTCCCCTCACTGCGGGCTGCAGGAGGGAGAGGAGAGTCACTGTCATCAAATGTTGTATGTTTAAAAATGCACACAGTCAATAACAATGTCTTTCCATTCATGGCTGCTCACACTATATCACATATGTAGATGTTTCAAAAGCATTTCAGTGATTATATGTCAGTGTAGTTCTGACCTGTTTCTTACTGAAACATAAAACCACCTAGACATCTGATGAATATCATAACATCTGCTGCACACTTCTCTTCATTGCAAACACACAAAATATCATCAAAGCTTTCGTACACAACCAGGCTCAGCGGGAGGGGTGGGTACATTCCTGATGTTACCCTCTTGTTTGTTAGTGTCTCTTTGGTTATTTGTATGTTCACTTTAAGAGAAAAAGGGGGAACTGCCAGTCTAATGTAAGAACTGTTTGAATTTGATATATTCCCTTCATAAAAACAGAATTGTATTTTTTTTCTTCAATCCGGCAACACATACAGAAAGAAACATGTTCATCATAAAGACCAGTCAGCATTAAGGCAAGATGAACTATATATTATAAACAACTGAATGCAATGGAAAAGTAGGTTTTACAGGTTATTTGATCTGTATTTTCTCAGTTACACAACAGGGATTTTCAATTTCACCAACAGGACTATCCTATTGCCACTGTCTCTATTTTAGGCTTTATTTAAAGCCACCATGTGAAGAATGTAAAAAACAGTCAGAGCAGAAACAGGCACACAAGACACTTCCTACAAACCTGACCTGAGATAAACTCACCGAGTTAAACGTAGGAGTCACCAGTTTTCACTTATACATACAAGCTTATACTATGATTCAAATAATTTGAAAGAAGCGGCAACTGCATGAAGTCTTGTCTTTGCCTCATGGGAAACTGAGGCTAAACACAAGTTACAGTCAGATACTGGCTGCAACATACAAATACACGTGTGAAACAGTAGATAAAAACCATAAACGCTATAATTACTCTGCATGAACGTGAACATGTGAATGTCAGAGACAGTAAATCAGAGGGAAATGTGTGTAATTGTGCCATAAACCAGAGTAACTGAAGGTGTGCTCTGCTCTGCCTTCACACTCAGGCCCATACGCACACAGAGTACTGATGATGCATATTTCAGGTGGAATAGCAGTGAAAATTAAACGTCCAACTGCAGCATTTTCCCCCTGGGACCCAAAGGACCTTGAAGAAGAGGGGGTGGGGAGGAGGGAGAATAGAGAGGTAGAGGAAGGATCAGTCAATGAAAGGATGTAGAGGAAAAGATGCAGACGCAGAAGAGGGCAACGCCAGAGGACGAAAAGACAAGAAAAAGGACAAAGCAACGAGGACCAGAGAGAGGGCTGGAGGTGTAATAACAGTCACAAATCACACACATCTCCTGACACCATGCGGGTCCATTAGAGAACTGGCTGTGGGCTGATTCACTTTAAAAGTGTTGGCTTTAAAATGTAGGTTACTGCTAGAGAAGATGAGCCACTGCTCTCTCCTGTAACACTCCACAAAACCTGAGCAAACATGAGAAAACCAACATGTCCCAAACATGTAGCGCAATAACACAGTTTACTAAAGGAATATTTCAACACTTTGGGAATATGCGTATTTGCTTTCTTTTTGAAAGCTAGAGGAGACGATTGGACTCAATATCATGTCAGTGTGTGTAATTAGCTTAGCTTAGCATAAAGACTTAAATCAAGGGGAAACAGCTCGCCTGCTCAAAAGTGAAAAAATATTACTACCATACCTCATCTCTTCTACACACACACACTATATATATTAACACAAGGTTGAATTAACTACTTCTTGACAAACAAATGTTCCTTCATCCACGTTGTCTCTAGTTACAAACTACAAAGAAACAAAACAAGAAGGAAATAAAAAGTGTGAATCCTGGTCTGAAGGAAGGTTTGATGAAGGGGAACCAGGTATGAAGGCAGGAAGGGGCTGGGTAAGGTCAGAGGTCACTGCTGAGAATAGAGATGTCAGTGGGTGAGTGGTGGTGCTGCTTACCGGAGATTGTGTACTCATCGCTGTGACTCTCACTGATCCGAACCAGGAAGGAGCCATCTTTGTTTTGGGAAGCCAGAAGCAGCTTTTCAGCTTTCACTCGGTTTATGTTGCCATAGTACCACCTGATCAGAGAGGAGAGGGACACACAGAGAGGACGGAAGAGAGAGAGAGAGAGAAGAATGCGTTACATGTGCAAGCATACATTCAGACGCGCTCGCCCACACACACACACACTTTTACCAACTGGTCCAGTCAGTAAGAGCAACACGTTTTAACAACCTACATTTACGACTGTTTTAAACTGACTGTGAACATGTCATGAGCCATTTCCCAGGGAATCCAGTGCTGTAGACAGAAGAGAATATTCCAGGGGACATTAAGTCAGTGAAGACGTCTCTCACAGTTACAGTGTTTTTGTTTTTGTTTTTGAGTCCTGCCTGTTTGCTCACATATCAGAACTAGACCTTTATTTACTTTGTATTATCAGCAAAGGGCGGGGCCGCTCTCCATGACGCACAGGTTTCGCTGAAACCGACAGGCAGCAATGACTCAAAGAAGCAGGAGAGAGGACAGAGTGAAAGGCTTCAGACACCAGAACTACTGTCGTGATATATTTCAGATAAAAATAAGAATGTAAAACTACTGTGAGGGAGGTTTAATGGTAAATTTAGTTTTTCTATTTCTTTATTTCAGACAAATAAGCCTGGGTGTAATTCACCTAATTTGCTCCTTCCTGTAGATTCCAAAACCCAGCACATTTATTTTATACTCCCTTATGTTTAAAAAGACTATAGAAATAATAAAAAAAGTTTTAAAAAATTATCTGACAAATTTAACAATAAAGACACAGTAGCTACAGGAAGTATCAGACCCCTTCACTTTTTCACATTTTATTGTTATTGTTTGCTGTCATTTCAAATGGATTAAATTGCCATTCCCTTGAAAAACCTGTAGCCCCAGGGCTACGTTAAATAACTCAGAATGAGTGAAAACATGTTGAAAATTCATCTAAAATCAAAACCTAAAAATCTAAATTTTAAATCAGGTGCATAGTTTTGCAAATTTAATGAGGACATTATTATCTAATAAAAATCCAAAACATGTTTTCACTTGGTAATCACAGATTACTGAGTGTAGATTGATGCACAGAAAAAGGCTAATTTATCCATTAATAATTAAAAATACAACACAATAAAATAGGCCTGAACAATTAATCAAAAATATTAATGAAATCTCAATATGGCTTAGTGCAATATCCAAATCACATAAGCTGCAATTTTTTTTTTGATAAAGATAAAATGTGTCACAACAAACTATAAATGCTGTGGTGCGATAGAGACGCCCCGGCCTATAAATCATTTTCTCCAGATGTAAGGGAACAGGTTTGTTTGGTACAAGATCCAACAGAAATCACATCATCATCATTTTTATATTATTTTCAGTGAAAATTAAATGGAAATATGACCATTTCAACTGAATTCAGACTCATATCATAATCGCAATATGATTTTTTTTTGCCTGTCGTTCAGCCCTACAATAAAAAGTGCAGAAAGTACAGGGGTCTGAATGGTTTGTGAAGCAGCTGTAAATATTGCTGCCTTCAGGGACGTCAGAGTGATGCTGCAGGCGATAATGCAGAGTGAGGTCAGTGTAAACGGGGCTTTTTTTTATTATAAATGACTAAGTTAGTGTCTCTAATGTACGTTCCTCATTGTGACGCGTTATAAAGCTTCAACGCTCTTATGAAGAGTCAGTGATGCTGCTGTTGTTCTCGTGCTGTGGTCCTCAGTCTCAGTGGTGTGTTTGAGGACAGTCGGACGTGTGGACTCAGTGTCGGGTCAGCAACACGAAAACAGAAAGTGAGGTCAACCTTGGAGAGAGAGCTCGGCTGAAACATGATGACTCCCTGCAGGCTGGATGAATAATGGAGGACCTGCAGCTGCAGAGCGGTGACCACATGCAGCCTCTCAGCTACATTTAGCTCCAGCCTGGGTTCAGCAGCAGCAGCAGAGGCTGCTCCTTTCACCTCCAAACATTTGTGTTCAACTCTGCCTTGAACACCAGGAGTTCAGTTTTTAGGTTTTGTGATTAGAATTAGAGCTGAGACGATCAATCGATTAGTCGATCAGCAGACAATTACTGTGTCACTAATTTCATAAGTAATTGAAGTCATTTTATAATCAAAGGGTGATGTGAATATTTTTGCTTTTCTTTGTCCTCTATGATGATAAATTGAATATCTGTGGGTTTCAGACTGTTGGTCGGACAAAACAAGGAACCCGCATGTGTCAACATGTGCTTTAAGAAACTGTGGTGGACGTTTCTTATCTTATTGACCACAATTATCAATTACCAATAAGAAATATTCTAAGTTGACATTCGAACTGTTTTTCTTGTCTGACAACAGTTAAATATGATAGAGAACAAAGAAAAACCAAAACATTTACGTGAGAGAAGCTGGAACCAGCGGATTATTGTTTTCTCAGTTATCAATAGGCTGCCTGTTCATTTTCTGTCAGTGGAGTTAATAGATTAAATTAACTCAGTACTTATCAGAGAAAATGAACCGTAAACTGTCAGAAATCTATTAAGTCAAAATGAGTCACTTCAGGTCAGAATACATCATTTATCTCATGAGGTTTCTGCTAAACTTTTACACTTCAAACGGTATTTTCAATAATCTGAACTAATGTGTGAGCTGTCTGCTCCATCAGTCAATCGAATAGTCTGCAGATTATTTTCCCTATTGATCAATTAATCATGGATAAACTGTCAGAGTGACGTTTTCAAATGTTTTGTTTTGTCTCAGTAAACATTCACTTTACAAAGAAAGACTGAAAATCACCACGTGAGAGAAGCTGGAGCCTGCAAATGTTTTGTATTTCTCTTTTGATTATTTATTTAGTCAATTAAATCGATTAATCGTCTCATCTTTGTATTCAGTGTTCAGTGGTGGCTTCACCATTTCAGTGAAATTTTGACCATCATCACTTTTAAGTCTTTCACAGCCCAGAGGTCAAAGCTCCTTCAGCTGTCAGCTCTCATCTCCACATGTCGCAGCTTTGGAGGAAACTTCTCCAAGTCTCACAAATAAAAGGATTTATCATCATGTTGATCTAGTTTATTGATTTTACTGTCAGTCTTTAAATATAGAGGGTTACTTTTGATTCAACTGATGTTTTGTGACTCACCAGCAGATTAAAATCTAGATCCCACATCAGCACCAGAGGATCAGGTGACACCAGGACACCGGGAGCAGCTGTGGGACTAAACAGTCTGAATAAGAGCGGAGGAATGTTGATGTTTTTGAACACTCACTTGTGTTTGGCGAACTCGTCCTGCAGCAGAGCCACGTAGTTCGCCGGGATCAGTCCGGACTCCAAAGACCCGGTCAGCTTCTTGGCCAGCACGTACTGCCCCCGCTTCTCGATCACCGACAGCTTGTCCCCCTCCTTCACCGTCAGCTCGTCGTCGCTGCGGGCCACGAAGTCGAAGAGCGCCGCGTACAGCTGCACCGGCCGCTTCTTGGGCGACGGGACGCGGATTTCGCCGGACACGGTGCGGATCTCCGCCGCATGCGCCGCCGGGTTGGCGATTACATGGTTGTGGTTGGGGACGTTTGGGTAGCGGAAGTCGGGCCATATCCAGTTCCACAGCCGGCTTAAACACGGCATACATGAACGGCAGCAACTCTCCATCCCGGGACATGAAGGAGCCCGGTGGGTTTATTCCAGGCTTTATTATGACACCGATCAACGAGACGCGCTTCAGGCTTTATCAGTCCGCTGAAAACGGCCTTTTCCAGCCGACAGTCACCAGCCGCTCAGTCCTCCGGTTCCCCTCTCTTCCTCTGGCTAGAAACATTCTGCACCACCAGCAATAGTTGGGTAGATTAGCCGGAGGAACCGGTTTTTTCTGTTGAGATCACTGATCTTAGCTCCGCGCCTGCAGTGCGCACGGCGGCTGCGGGAATGCGGAAACGGGAATGGAGGCCATCCAAGTCGGATCGGTTCCCTGCAAGGACTCGGCGGCGCGACCCAAGATGAACCGAGAATGTGAGAGCATGGCTCCCGAGGGATATGTTAATCCACTGTAATCACTGGAGAAAATGCTGCAGCCGCTGATGCTCAGGTGTAAATATCCGCCGAGGGGAAAGGTGAGAGTGAGGCGGCAGCGCGGTGCGTAAGAAAGTTTGGGTTTGGCGCTCGGCACACCCCCCTACCGCTCACACACCTGCGTACAGACGGATACTAATGGGAGAGAGAGAGAGAGAGAGAGAGCGAGCGAGAGAGAGAGAAAGAGAGAGAGAGAGAGAGAGAGAACAATGAGGGCGGGTGTTTTCGCTCAAACTAAATTTGGCTGAAGGTCAGTTTGGTGGAGTAAATGAGTGTTTGATTAACACTTCATTAACACGGCTTCTAGTCTTTTCTGTTGTTTATCATTTTATGGGATAAATACTTTTATTCATTTTAAAATATTTGATCTCGAATTTCATCTTGTCCTGGAAGAAAAACAACTTTGGCCTCTGAGAAACGGTGAGAACTGTTTGAGAAACTCCTAAACTATAAAATCACCTGCAGATTAATCAATAATGAAAATATTTAGCACAAATCTCAATGATCAGGATCAATAAATAAACACTACAGATGAGTCTGTAGTGTTTATTAGAGTCTAGTGGCTGCAGCCTTCTTGCCCTTATTCCTGCATCAGTTCTGCACCATTACTGCAGAAGAACTGTGCAGGGTGCTCATACATTACAGCAGCTCACCACAGAGGAAGCCCTGGGAAGAACTGAACACATATTGATGATGCACCAGTAAAACCTGAGGGTGGATTTTTCTTTTTAAATCTATTGTTCGACCTTTAAAAAAGCCCCTGAGCCTCTACATCATCAAGTGTTTCTGCAGCAGCACCCATCATCTTGACTCATCATCAGCCTGTGATCAGTGTCAGGTGCTGATGATGGTCCTGAGTGAAACACAAACCTGAGGGGGTGAAAGGTGATTATATTATGAACTGCAGGCTTCAGTTAACATGTGAATTACTCTACAGTTTAAGCCTGTACAGCCTCAGTGTGGCACATTTGAAAGCATTAACCACACGTGAACAGCTGACTGTTACCATCATGAGGTACAGGAGCTGGATCACACAGTGAGACCCTCAGATCCTTTTGATCTGAGCAGGAAAGTTTTAAGACTAAAAATGGCTCAAATCCAACATGAAAGCTTTTGAGTTTCAGCTCTAATCTAAATCTTTCATTTGCAACAGCAGCTTTCAGTTCAGCTTCTCGTTGGGCAGGTTGACTCTTTGGGCTGCTGTTACATCACAGACTCCAGGTCTGTTAAATATCACAGGCTGGAGGTTCAGTTCACTGTGTCACAAGAACAGAGGTTTTGTGAAGAAAGATCTGAAGAAGAATTCAGACCCTTTACTTCACTAACTGTAACAACAATGTAAAAATACACAAATACAAGTAACAGTCCTGTATTCAAAATCTTATTATTCTAGTTTTATCAAAAGCAGTAAAGTGTCTTCTGTGACTGATATAATATGTAGGCTATGAAATTATTAGATATCTAATACTGATGCATCAATGTTTCAGCAGCTGCTCCAGGTGGAGCTGGTTTTTACTACTTTATACTGTATTCAGTTACATTATATACATCTGCATCTGATACATGGCATGAGGACCCAACTAGACAGAGTCTTTTGTCAGATGGTCACAAGTCAGAAAGGTTGGGAGCCAACAGTTAAGCCTTCAATAATGTATTTTTAAGTTCATCATATGTTTTTTTAAAGAGTAAAAAGTGAAAAGAGTTTAGGTAGAAAGTGGTGGAAAATGAAAATACTTGAATAAAGTACCTCAACATTGGACGTCTTCAGCTGAGTCTTTTCATCAGATCAGCTTTAACAGTACAGTGAGGAAGAACATGACAGCGCAGCTCTGTTTGATAGATAGCACACCGTTTTATTAGTATATTTAGCTTTGTGACGTACAGCTCGGGAGAAAAACAAAAGTAACCAAAAAACAAACAAAACTAAATGGTCACAACTTTTTTTTTTTTTTTTAAGTCCAGAAACATTTCAGCCTTAGCAGTGACATCACACGAAAGAAAGCTCAGTTTTTCGATCATTGGTTTCTTTGTCATGGACCAGAGTGATATGTTCTCGTTTTTTCAGGCTAAACAAACAAACACGTCTGTACCGCAAACAAAAAAAAATAACCCTAGATTTCTTTTTTAATGTCTTTTTTTTTCCTCAATCATTTAAGATGCTTCACATATATTATCAACACTTTTCTAAAGAATCAAAATAATTAGCCACAGGTACTGGAAAAAAGGTATCCACTGTTATATAATAATAATAATAATAATGAACACAATAAATATAAAAAGAATTTTTGATATAATTTATATGGTATCAAAGAGAGAGGGAAATGGGCCTTCAGTTAGACGTGTTTTTACAAAAGTGATGTCCATTTTTTTTTCCTGAGGTTGAGTTTTTTCATCTGCAGGTTAAAGTTTTGCTAAATATACTAATAGACTAAGAGACCCGACACACAGGGTCTGTAATGGCTTATCATTCACTGAGGAATCATCTCCACCGGGTCGTGGTCACACCAGTGGAGTTGTCATTGTGGCCCCACTGTGATTTTGTGTGCTGTGGAGTTAGCTGAGAGGTCAAAGGTCAGTCCCCCCCCCCCAGAGCCAAACAAACACACATCTTGACTCCCCCCCACCCCACCCCACCCCTTCCCAAACAATCGGTTTCATACAGGGGTGCCTCGCTTTTCAATTTCAGCCGTGGGACGTTTCTTCACCAAGCACAAAAATGAAACTGTGAATCGACAATCACACACAAACTAGCCGTTAGCGTTCCTCCATGAAACACAGGTGGACCTTTAGCATCTCAATGCTAACTAAATGCTAACAAGGCAGGGTTAAAAAACTAAAATACGTAAGCAGGTGCCCGGTGAAAAAAGGTGACGAGCTGAAATTCAAAGTGTCCCCTCATGCGATAGGCTTATGTGTGAAATGGTGATAATTGTATTCAGACGCAGTCCCATTTCCCTTCAGTGTGTAAGGAAGGAGTCATATTAACTGAAAACAGGAGTGAGAGGATAGAGACAGAGGAAAGAGGAGGGATAGAAGGATAGAAAGATGAGAGGAAACCAAACAGAAAACAAACCAGAAAGAATCGCAAAAATCTGTACATGTAAACATCACACTTCCACTGAGTCAAATCATGAGGAGAATACAGGTTTCTAGTTGGTATTACTGTGGGTACAAAGCCCCCAACAGAGGAAATCAAGACAATCAAGAGTCTGGTACAAAGTCAGGTGAAGACAGAGAGAGAAGAGAAAAGAACCAAATCGCCAAAAATGAGAAAAGAATAGAATCTAAAGCACCACGGAAACAAACAAAAATAAAAAACAGTAAAACCAAATGGCTCAGGAAGCCATTTTTTAAAATTTCGACAGTAGTAGCTGTACACCGTGCCCTGATAGAAAAATAAAAATAGCTCCATTATTTTTTTCTCCTTCATTTTTTTCATATGTGTGTCTGTGTTGAGCTTTAACATCTGACCAGACTGGTTCAAGAAGTGTGTGATCGTTTGCAGGGACCCGACCGGCATCACGGCTCGTCTCATGGACTGAGGTCTGAGGTTAGAAGCAGCTTCTGAAAGGATTTCCTGACCCCGAGTCTGAATCTCTGAGTCTGAAACTGTTTCCACAGCGATGTGTGATCTGAAACTTTAAAAAAAGACTAGTCTGTCTACATGTGGATGAAGAATAATTCCTGTATGCTCAAAGTTAGCACAGAGCTCATCTTGTCTGCAATATCTCTGGAAATTGAATGCCTTTTAAAATAATAGTCCCACATTTTTTGAAAATATACTCATTTCCTTTCTTGCTGTTAACAAAAAAAAAAGCCTCCATGCACCTCTAAAGCTCAACAATTAACACTTAATCACCTTTGTTTAATTTGTAGAAACCTAAATGTAAATATACCAATGTTCTGTTTTAGCAGTGGAAATGTGCAGGACTATTTCTTGGCCTGTTGTTTGCTGTGAAATAGTCTGGCCCATAACCCCCCCTGTAAAACCACAACTGGACATTTTTACACTTTTAGTTAATTAAGCAAACGAAACATGACATATTAATTAGTGCGCTTTAGAGGTTCTGGTAGGCAAACAGAGCCAGGCTAGCTTCTCCCCTCGGTTTCAACTCTTTATGCTAAGCTAAGCTAACCATCTATCTACCATGCAGACACAAGAGTGGGACTGATCTTCTCATCTAAAGCTCAGGAAGAAAGTGAATGAGCACATTTCCTACAGTGTCTTTACATCTTTAAATATGCAATAAAAAATCCAAAACAATTAGATATTTTTTCAGCATAATTATATTCCAGGAAATCAGATCATGCATGGAGACAGAATAAAAGAAGATAAAACTAAATAGATCAATTGATAAATATTTTTACTGCCTCGCAGTAGTTGTAGTTTATAGAAAGATCTTTGGTTAAAGATCTAAAGACAGACTTGGAAAAACAGGCAGATTTTAAAGCTCCGTGTTGAACAAGCTGCAGGTTGTAAAGAAGCTGTATATCACAGCAGATCAGCTGGTCGACCTTTCTGTTTTACTTTACAACTTGGACCTTTGATTCAGCGGCTTACATTTGCCCTGCACATACCAGAGTCTCTGCTCTGTGTGAGCGGTAGCAACCCACATCTCTACTTCTGTGGTGTCTGAGAGGAGGACCTCCACACTCTTCCTCAGGCCTCAGACTTACATCCCTTTTTTCACAGTGGATC